CTTTGTTGCTGAGAGATGTGGGCATATTGTATTTTTCTTAATCCTTGGCACTTTGGATCCTCATATTTTCATTACTTTGAGTCACTTGAGTCCAGACAACTATCATTTTAATGAAATGGCTGCAGTGGCAGCTTGAATGTAATTTAAAAACTGAATCATTTGTTAAACATTACATATTCATAACAAGCCATTCAATCTTTAAAAATAGCCATCCCTGACCTCTGTAGCTTCATGCAATGTGAAGTAATTCATCAAAGATCACAACAAAAGTCCAGTTTTAAAGGCACAGTGCACCTAAAACCTAGTAAATGCAGCAACATTTATCTCATAATCAATAGGCATGTATTACTTTTTGCAATGGAGCATGCAGAGCACTGCACCCATGATCGGTGCTTCAGAAATGCAATGCACACACAGGCTCTTTCCCCCAAGCTTCAAGGATATACAAAAAGGTAGAGACTTGAGGCAAAAAGTGCCGGTGAACTACCAGCTCACTGGTGCTTATCTAATTCTCTGGTCTCTAAGTGAACCTGTTGCTTTGTCTTGAATTTGTAAAGAAACAAACTTTTTGCTGGAGTTCCCCTTGAAGAGTGCATCTATTAAGGCCCTAGCGTGCAGTGACATTTATCAGCTTTAATAAAGGACAATTAATCTAATCTGAACAGCAGCCTGTGTAAATGAACCTCTCAGTGTTTATATTGTTCCCAGTTATTACATAAGGTGTTAAATTCTCCTGATAACCCAAGTATAAAGCAAATTAAACACAGAGATATATTAGAAGTTTGTACGGAGATGATTAATTCCTCTATCCAATCATATGAAGTCATTGTAGGTGAACAATGAGGAATGTATCCCCGTACGAGGGACAGATGCAGAGAGTATTATCAGAACAGCATGTGAAGAGAATGAACACCACCAAAACATCCGGAAAAATGTGTCCTTCAATCCAAGAGAACAAGGAATACAATCGGCTATAATCTATTTATACCATTACAGGTGTGGCATCAAGGACACTGCGCTTTATACAGGAGGTACTTGTGACTAGGTGGAAAAGAGAGTAGGAGATGGTTAAGGAGGCTCCTGTGGGTTTGCAGCGAATTATGTACTGCAGAACAGAAGGGTAGGAAAGAGGACCCAGTAATTATTGGCACGAGTTACATTTTACCTGCTTCATTATTTAGAATATTTTATTTCAAGTTAATACACAGGGCTGCATTTCTATCATTGGAGCCCAACATCTTGGACTACCTCCCTTAACATTTTTTCTTTTACTGGTCCTAACCTGGTTTACAACAGGCGACCATGGTACAGCGACTCTGCCCCTCTCCCTGTTCCCTGCCTGCCATTTTCATGTATTTATCACATATATGCGGCACTGCTTGTACTCTGCAGTACCGCGTGTTCAATTTTGGGGGTGTGGTGCAGCCTTTTTGCCAGGCATCAGCAGGGCCAACTTTAATGTTAATTCGGAACTAAACAAGATTCTGCTGATAGGCCCCCACAACCCTCCCACCTCCATCACCTGACCCCACTTCCAGACCCTCAAATCCACCTACGCTGCGCTGGACAGCCACAAATAGGGCCCTAGAGTGTTTAGTGCCCTAGGCAAGCTACTTACACCCCGCAGCCCCACTCCGGTCTGTCATGTATGGGGGTGGTGGTGCATACCACAAGTGCACACTACAGAGTGGAGGTGCCCCCATGGCCCTCCCCAAGCTATGCCCCTGCTACCTTCTCGCCAACTCTGTCTGTTCTTAATTCTATTCCCACAGAGGTATGTTCTGTTTGCATTGCGTCTGCATTCTGGTACCAAAGTCCAAAAAATAGTAAAGGTTTATATTTCTTCTGACCATACTTGCCTTAGAATGTATATGTGCTGTCTCTATATTAGGGTGCAGAAGGAATTAAAATTGGTAAAAAATCTGAATGTGTATAAATGAAGCATACCTGGCATGTCACAGTTTCCTTTTCAGCCATCACAAGCAATATTTCCAAATCCATTCTTGTAGGAATCCCATGTTCTGCCAAAGCCAGCACCTCAGCCCTGGCACGACACCCCGCCTCCGGCAGAGCCCACACTGTACAAGGCAGGACGACAAACTTCTGCAACTGCTGTGAGGAAGAATGTGCCACTGCCACATGCCTGACAGCCCTGGAGCCTCCACACAGCCTGGGGAACAGAATGCAGCTGCAGCATAGGCCCAGTCTGCAGTGCATCAGGGAGGCCCAGGGGGCAATTGCCCCCCTGCCCAGCCCGCCCCCGGTTTCCAGTATAGTAGATGTTAATATTGGAAGAGTTATAATTCTTTCTGATGAGTAAAAAAAAAAAAAAATCATTACTGATGATTGTGAGCAAAAAGTTGCCTCTAACTCTGCTGCCTATGGACACAAGCCTGTGTCCACTAGGAAATCTTGCTCTAGCCTAATTGTGCATTTGTATGTCTGGCTCTGCACAGTGCAGTTGTGACACACGTTGTGGAGGATTTCAACCACAAGGGTTGTATACAAAAAACAGGGATACAGTAGCTTTTACAGCATGCCCCCACTGCAAGACATAATACAATAAAAAGGTGCCTGTCTTTGCCTAAAATATTGCACTGAAGAATATATTGTGTTGTGACTGACTTTGGAAGGTGTAGGATTGTGATCTGCATACCGATTCAGGGGGCTCCTGGGGGGGGCAGTTAGATGATGGCGGCACCTATTTTCACAACTACAGCTTAATTTCCTAGCTTTTCCAATGTAATGGGTGTATGTAATTAAAACAAACAAAACAATGCAATAAATGAGAAAATGCTCTAAACACAAATGCCTTACACAATATAAACACACTGATGAACAAAAGCTTCTTCGAAAACAGCAGGATGAAGCTTCTATTGGTGCACAGTAGAGGAAGACACAAGCATTCTCGTCTTGCTAGGCACAGTGTTTGTCTATAGAAAGTGTAATTGCAATCCAGTATTTTACAGATTTCTCTAGCACAGTATTTCAACAATTAGATTTCAGCCTGCCAAGTCATGTGACCAAAAGCAGAAGGCTTTTGTTTGGAGACTGCAGGACATGCTGACGCCTCCCTGTATTCATGTGACAATACAATCTTGAAACATTTTATCTGCTTGGCAGAAGATAGCGATGAGGGTATGTGCAAGTGGGTTCCTCTTCAGTTTTCATCCCTATTTAATCCTTATTTGAATTCTAACAGCAGAATACTATAACTGCAAAATGACGGTCCCATTTCCCTCTGGCTTGTCTATATTAGCACTGGAATTATAGGTTCTCTCTATATGGTTTGTTCCTTGTAATAAAAATCAAATCCAAACTGCAGCAAAATATGGTAAATAGTGTGTGAAAAAAATGAAATGTTTTCATGATGTACTGCAACTCCAACCCTAGAGGAAACCCAAGAAATCAGAGGTCCATGTTTGAGCAATGACCACTAAAATAGAGCTAGAAAAAAAAAAAAAAAGGAGGATTGAAAACAAAATTGGGAGCAAAAGTAAAGCCATGCATAAGCTAATTGTCACTGGAGTCCTAGCTCACACTGAGCCACGAAATCCAGTTTGACAGCCAGTACTGTCTTATGACACCCTCCCTTATACCGTGAAGTACCAAATATTTATTTCAGTTTCCAGGGCTGAACAAAGTGCCAGGGAGTGAAGGAAAGGTAATTGTATGCAGATGGGAAGGGTGTTAATGCCAAGCTGTTGGTTACGCAAAGGTTTGCCAAAGGATGGGAAGTAGCACAAATAGAGTTAAGGAGAACTAAGAGGCGAGTGATTCCACTCATCCTCATAGTTAGAGCCGACCTGTGACAAAAAAAAGCTGTCACAGGTCGGCTCTATCGATCAGGAAATGAGCAGAAACATGCAGCCGATTCACTCACTTTCCGATTATCTCCCTGCAGAGAGGTGTGACTGTCGGTCACCGCTCACCGCAGGGATTCCCCCCTCCCCTCTCCGATCCTCTAGCACTGAGTGGAAGAACAAACAGGGGAGGGGGCGGGCACAGCCAGCTCTGCCTCTAGATAGGGAGGAGGTTAGTATATGTCCTCCCGTGACCCTAAAGAGAACTATGGGGAAAAACAAACACTTACCCCATAGTTCTCTTTTAAGACTAAGAGTAAAGAAGCACCAATGCTGTGATTTGTCAGTCTTTATTCCGGTTTTTACCACAGAAGAAAATATCCAAATACCAATAAAGAGTATCTATGGTCAAAAACAAAATAAAAATATCTATTTCTATATATTCCATTTCCATCCCACACCTAATGAGCATATCGATCTAGACATTTGTAAACTTATTGAAGATGCCCATAGGATGAAATTCCTCAATGCAGTTTACACACAATGTCACTCAGCCCTATGAGCATTGACTTCCTTGTGTCAAAACTCACACTGCCTGCCTTCTGAACTGCAACTCAACGTTTGGCAATGTAACACTATCATTGCTTTTTGGAAGCAATGCATGATGGGATATGTAATTTTGAGAAATGGAGATTGCATCACATCAAGCAACAGGGAAAGAGACACAAAGCAAACTTGTAATCCAGGAAGTTGTTGAAAGCGATGGGCAGACAGTGGCAGCACTCACTACTTAAAAGGGATTTTTTCACGTAAGCTTTGACTGCATTATCAAAAACATCTCTAGTATGTATTTCTATTACAATGCTGATGTTATAACAGGAGAGGATATGCTGGGACTTTACAACTCCTTTAATGAAAACCTTTTTTTCATTTAACTTATTAAGTTATAAACTATTAAACTAATGGAGCAAAATGTAGACTTTCCTGAGAAAATATCTGTGTATCCATCTTCCAGGAGAAAGATCTGAGACCTGCTGTATTTTGGTAGCCCAAGCCCTGTAATTTACTTCAGGTCAAAGGGCTTACTGTTCGTTAAGGTGCATGGTTTAAAAGTGAATACAAGTCCACATCTTTAATGAATGAGGGTTTTATTAAAATGTCTGATTTTTCTAATTTCCACCTGTATTCTCTTAACAGAATGATTCCATCATCCAGCAAATCGTTTTTCCTAAGTGACCTGGTGTCCTCTCGTAACTATGACTTGTGTGTCCTGGCCGTATACGACGATGGCACAACCGCTTTGACTGCAACTCGGGTGATAGGCTGTGTACAGTTTACAACGGAACAGGAGTATAAGCAGTGTCGATCCCTCCATGCTCAGTTTCTCGGTGGAACAATGATCATTATCATCGGTGGTATCATTGTGGCCTCTGTCCTCGTCTTCATTTTTATTCTACTCATGAAATACAAAGTCTACAATAACCACCCCAAATCCAAACCAGCCAAGGTCACCAATGTGTGCTCTCAAACCAATGGTAGTCAGAGCGGTACAATTGGACGTTCGTCTTCAAAACTCAATGAAAGGAGAGACAGCATTATGCAGGACATTTCGGGAACATCCATGAAAAGCAAAACCATAGTTGACCTCACCCCAGATGGTGAAAAAGTGACTGTAACTGACACTACCTTTATAACAAATGACATTCTCTCTCACTAGCAAAATACCAATACCACAAACTTATGCACCTCTTTTAAAAAGGGACAATCCACTGAGAACTGGTCATTGTGGTACTGTTAAGGACATTTTCATGCAAGGAGTCGTCTTTTCGGCTTCATGCCTATTGTCTATTTTTAAGATCAGATGGTTACAACAAAAAGCTATTTTTTTAATCTGTAAAAATGTTTACTGCATTCTTAACTATTTTTTGGTTCAATATTATTAAATATAAAGTGTGTGACAAAAACTGGCTAGCTAGAAATAATTGGTTTTAAACAACAACACTTAAAGGAAGGATAATAAATGTTTCTTTTGATTTTTTATATTTGAATGGCCTGAACTAACCTCATGAAAGTTTATTTAGCACGTGTGATCTTTCTGTAAAGAATTTTGACTACTTTCCCTCTTTAGGCCCACAGATCATCTTAGCACAATTACGGATGCCAATTCTGACCTTGTTCTCACATTTTCTTCACTAGTCCAACATACAAGTGTCCAGTCCAAGGTCTACCTCAAGTTACAGTTAACAGTTGAGCATCGGAGTGGGCCACTGGCTGTTGATTATCCTTTTGTAGAGTCTTAAGCTAAGACACCCACAGCTCAAATTTCAGACAATTCGGGAGCATAGGATGAAATTCAAGCTACGGGTGGGCTCTGCCGGCACCACTCTGTTCTACAGATGTTGACTTCTCAATCAAAGTTTGTGAAAAGGCAGAGTGGAAAATTATTTGGCCAAACAGTGCCTGCATCAAATCAGTTATTGGCACTGTTTGGGTATTTAGTAGGCACAGAAGCAGTGGCTGATGAACATAATAGCCGGCATCAGGGATTCCTCTCTCCAAACTGTTTAGCTTGGATGGTGGAATCCAATGAACAAGAGACATTTAACAATATGTGGCTAGCCTCAATGTCAGTCTCTGAGCTTCAGTACCTGCAGGCACTTAAAAATGACAAACAGACCCTGTACTAGCAGATAGTTGAATCTGCATTGAAGCTTGTACACTTACTACATGTTTTAGGGTAGAAGCATTTTCAGGATCTATCCCTAAACATAGTATGTATAAGCACTGATAAAAAAGCAAGCATGTGCCTTTTGGTCTTTGATCATATGTGGCTTGGTGAGATTGTTGTACCAACTAGGAAGTCAACCCTGGAAATTAGAAGATATTTGTACGCAGGTCATCAGGGTGAGTAGTAAAGTTGTGAATATCTGCAGTGATTTCAATGTTAAAATACTGCAGCCTGGAGTACAGCAGACACAACATCTGTCTTCAATGGCACCTTGAGCAATACAAAACCCCAGGCCCGCAGAAGAGTCTACCTAACCTGCATTGCACTTTTGACCACTCAGGGCCCATTCACACCACAATTAGATCATCTCCAGACCAGATTATTTCCGGACCCAAAATGCATCCTAATGTATCCCTATGCCATTTCTGCCTCTGTTCACACCAGCGCTGTCTGTTCCAGACCAGACCATAAAAATACTGCACGTTCTATTTTGTCTGGTCTGTAATGCAATGGAACTGCGGGCATGTTCACACCTTTTTCCGGACCAGATCTGGACCAGTTCTGGTCTCGGAAAATGGTGTGAACCTGCCCTAAGTGCAATGGCTAATCTCATTGAAAGGTGCAGAAGATGGATGTGCACAGCTCAGCCTAACCAGCTCAGGCCATTATTTGCTTACTAGAGCCCCTACTGTGTTGGACATCAAAAGAGAACGTATGCTGTATGGAGTCATCTGTTGGTGCCAGCTATAAACTCCTGGAGGCAGTTTGTTAGCTTTCAAGTTGTAGGGTTGCTCTTAAAGTAGATGTTCAGACAAAACATATATTTTAGTTAATGCTGAACTCTGCCAAAGGATTTGTATTGCTGTCCATCCAGTTCTGAGGTTTACGCAGCCCTGTCTGGCTGGGAAGGGACTTGATCTAATTTAAGCAATGTTTACAGGTGTTATTTGTCCTCCAGCCTGTGAGTCGACGATGAAAGAGAAACAGAAGATCAACAAGCTCTAAATCGGCATTCTCATTGTTAGCACATGCCAGTCAGCTGTGCTGCAGTGTTCTCCATGTGCTAGTTCTCCCTCTTCCAGTTTATGCTCTGCTGTGCAAGGGATAAAAAGTCGAATCCAGGTACGTAAACAGCTTTAATTTTAAAAAAGGGTTTCATTCTGAATTAAATAGTGTGTATTATTTCTGCCTGTAGATCAGCTTTAAGGATATTGTGTTGTTTGGTACATAGTATACAGAATACCCAAGGATGACTTCCAAGCAGGGAACATTTTAAATTCTTTTAGAAAATCACATCTGGTCAAAGATTAAAATGGTGGTCATTTAAATAAAAAAAATTAGAATAAAATGTTAAGTGAAAGTGTAGTTTTCCATTTCAGAAGGGCTTCTGACACTTCAACACTTCATCCCACACTCCTGTGAATGAAAATGAAGCATCCTAAAAGTCAATGGGGGGGAATTTATCAAAACTGGAGTTGTTGCCCATGGCAACCAATCAGCATCTCTTCAGTTTGCTCAGGTAGGATTTGAAAAGGAGAGATAGAAGCTGATCGGTTGCAGTTCATATCTGCTCCAGATTTTGTCTGCTCCAGTTTTGATAAATTCCCCTCACTTTGCAGGTGCTTTCACAAAGTTGAGATTTGGCCTAATAATTTCAGCCTATATGTATCCACCAAACAGATTCCACTACTTATGCTTCTCTTTAGACATGTGCACTGCCAAAAAATGTTTCGTTTCGTTTTAAATTCGGATTTGTGTTATTTCGTTTTTCAGGATTCGGGTGTGAAAGTCAATTCGGATTCAGAATTCGGATTCGGACGAAATTCGGTAGCGTTAGTACGAACGTTCGTTTCGTTTTCTGTTCTTATTCGTTTCTTGTTCGTTCGTTTGCAGCAAAAGTGACATTTGACACTCTCCTTCTCTGTCACTTTGCTCCAACGAACGAAACGAATAAGAAACGAAACGAACGTTCGTACTAACGCTACCGAATTTCGGAAATGGAAATTCGGATTCGTTTGCATTCATTATGTCTGTAATTCGGATACATCCGAATGTCCGAATTTCGGAAAATTCGTCCGAATTTCGATTCGGAACGAAACGAATTGCACATGTCTACTTCTCTTTAAAGTACATGATCACAGCCATCATAGTGCTGTGATCACCAGGAAGTGAGAAGATGTATTTACAATTATGAGGGAAATTCCCCCTTAGTCTGTTTTGGTGGCAATTCAAACTTTTGGATCGACCTTTGCTTACATTCTCGGGGATTTTGGTGATCAGGATAATTAGAGTGAATGTGGGGACACAGACAGCAAATAAGAACCTGACAGTGGTCCTAAGCCCTCAACACTACAAATTAAAAAGTTTTGCCTTTATTTATACTTTAAGAATTAGGAAGAAGAAAAATTAAAACAGTTTTCATAGTGAGGGCTTCTTTCACTACTGCTGCTCTCCAAAGCTTGTACTGCCCACCAGGGTGCCCAGGAAAGCATTCTCCCCCAAATAGTTATTTATACCATACCCTTAGGGAGGATTCCACTAGTATGCCTTAAAGGGAATTTTCCACTTTCCCAGGTGAATTTGGGAAAATTTAATTACTGCCCACCTATCTGCCCCCCGCCGTTGCTCTTACCTTTAACGGAACGCTCCTTCCCTTCCACGGTTGCTGGTGTACTATCTGCACTCCGTACACAGTGGCACAGACCTGTGTTCAGTAAAATTCCACTTGCAAATGGCAAGCATTCATTGGTCAGCATGCGCTCCAGACCACGCTGACCAATGAGAAGTGCTTCCTAACAAAAAAGCACTTATTAGTCAGCGTATTCAGAAGCATTTCTCATTGATCAGCGCTTGCCAATTGTGAGTAAAATTCAAAATGCCGAGTGCAGGGCTGCGTTGTAGTGTAAGGTGTAAGGGTAATGGATGGGTAGGAGCGTCTGATTGGGAAAATGGAATTACTGCCACCAGATTCACCTTTAACATAGCCTATTGACCAGTAGATATGCAGGAGGGAGTGCATAGTAGCATCTACATCCCAGCGGTGCGCTTTACATATATTTTTTGTTCTAGTAGCATAAGATGAGCAGAGAGGGGGGCATTGCAGCCTCACACACCACACACATGCCAACGTGAGGAAAACTTGAAAGGGTAAGTCCACTTTCTCACAAAATGTGACTCCACTCCACCACCTCTCCCTTTCCCCACTGTTCATACATGTACACTGGAAGCGCTAGCTTTTCATTGGTCAGCGAGGTCATGTGGCTGTGCTGACCAATCAGTGCTCACCATTTGCAGGCATTATGCCTAATACTAACAGTGGGGCTGCATTGCACTGTACAAACCGTACACCAGCTGCAGAGGGAATAGCACTTGCAGTGTAATTGTATGAGCGCTTGCAGTGTAATTGTATGAACAGTGGAACAGAGGAGGTGGCTGAGTGGATAAGTTGATTCTCTCACATTTTGTGAGCAAGTAGGCTTACACTCTAACAAGAAATTCTTCACTTACACCAGCCTCCGGCCTGCAGAACACCTCTGGCCCACACTAGAGGACCATCAGCAAGACGAGACCTTTGCATGCTTTTTTAAAAGGGCTCTGGGGCTTGTGTTTTCCTTCTGGTAGGCAGAGCCATGCCTTATGTTTGCTGTTCTGAAAGAGGACTAAGAAAAATGGATTGTTGCAAAAAAATCCAGAGGCAGAACCAGCTGTGGCCGCCCCCTCCCGGTCCGTTCCTCCAGTCAGCGGAGAGGGGAGAATCCCTGCGGGGAGCCGTGACTGACAGTCACCGCTCTCTGCAGGGAGATGATCGAGAAGTGAGCGAGCGACGGTATGTGTTCGCTCACTTCCCGATCTATTGAGTCGACGTGTGACAGTTTCATTGTCACGCGTCGGCTCGAACTATGAGGTTGACTGAAAATCACTTGCCTCATAGTTCTCCTTTAAAGTATTTACATACTTTTAACAAGCAGTAAATAAAATAGCTTTAAAAAAAAAAAGCAATCTTTGGCCTGTCTAGCTGCATGTAGTGTGAAGTAATTCATTCTCAAAGATCTCCATAAATCACAAGCTTACAAACATCTGCCTTGTGTTTACATTAGGCTGCCATGGGTCTGCTGCAATAGAAATTAAAGCCCAAATGTCAGCATGATAAACTTACTGCAGTAAAATTGGAGAGTCCGTTTAAACCCAGCTGCCATAATTAGATCTTTCTCTTCTCCGCACATTCTCAGTATACCTGCGAGTGGAAGTCCATCTCCCATGCATCTGCTTTGGC